CCAAACATGGATGTTAGTACCCACTTTCCATGTTGTGCCTGTTATGATTAGCCAGATGTGAGATCTCATTTGGCGCCTGGAAGGCGAGCAAATAGAGAATTCGGGTTAGGCGCTAGAAAGCGACTAGACTAATATCTGTACGGTGTATCGAGTATGACGTCACTCTTTATGGATGAGTTACTCCACCGTAACATGTATTCATGCTACATGTGCTTGGCGATCGAGTAATGAGGTGAGAGACTGGATCCCTGTTTCCTCACCGTGTGAGTCTTACATGTCATTATTGATATGACTTTCATTTATGTACCCTTTTGTGACTTTTGACTATGTCATAAGGTAAGGGGTTGATGTTCTGCTACTTTGGTATGTTGCCTGCGGTCATGTATGATTCGGCCTTAAGGGACATCACTGGGAAAGCGATCAATCCTAAACTAAATGGCATGAGGGCAAAGGGAAGATCATCTAGTATTACGCCACTGTTGTATTGTCACGCCCTACACCTGCCCCTAAAGGTGTGGGCATGGCCTAAGCGAGAACGGACATAAAAACAGATGTACATACCGTACGGGGCCTTATCGGAAGCATAAATTATTAATATAACATAAATATAAGCATACTCCATTGAGCTATTTCTAATATGCCAGGATCTCATGCATTACATACATCATCAAAAGCGGGTAAAGTTTAAAATTATATTCCCTGGATAACGTGAACAACATATACATTTACAGTCCTAGCTCGATAATTGGGCATAACAAAAGGAATATGAGAGTTATGTACAACGTCCGTAGGTGGCTCTCAAAAGTAGACCCATATCTTAGCAGCTTCCCAAAAATAAATGGCCTGGTGTAGTGCTTGGACATGTAAAGGTTGACAAAAGATACAGCGTCGAAGTTAGGACTGACCTCCTGACTGATAACCTACAAAAATAGACATAATGGAGAGTGAGCCGGGCTCAATGAGCAGTAATACATAATGAACGACGTCTGACTTGAAGCTTAAATACATCAATACATAGGAAGGTGCAGCATGCACATGGTTTGTCTGATTCTGCGTTTAGTTCATAATGGCCCTAGGCCTAATCCTGTGACATAAGCATGTGGCTATAAGCCCTTGAAACATGATGGCACGAAGCCCTTGAACATATGGCACGAGGCCCTTGTAATACATTTGAAACTTGTGGCACGAGGCCCTTGAAAATGCACTTGAAACTTGTGGCACGAGGCCCTTGAAAATGCACTTGAAACTTGTGGCACGAGGCCCTTGAAAATGCACTTGAAACTTGTGGCACGAGGCCCTTGAAAATGCACTTGAAACTTGTGGCACGAGGCCCTTGAAAATGCACTTGAAACTTGTGGCACGAGGCCCTTGAAAATGCACTTGAAACTTGTACATGCTTTGACATTAACATATGCTTGGGACATTAACATAATTGCTTTGCATGCCTTGAAACATTGGCATGATTGCATGACATTACATAAGTACTACTACTCACAGTGTTGAGGTGGCGTGTTGCTTCCTTCTGGAATGTGCCCTGCACACAATTAATACATTAGTCTCTTTTTTTTATATACAGCATTTCCTGAGTCTTACACCTTGCATGCATTTACAACCGCTTTAAAATCATCTGTAAAATATTCTAAAAATACCGGAGAAGCAAGCACTCAAAACTGAACAAACATTTAATTTTTTCCTGAAAATGAGTCCCCTGCTCGAGCGTCACTTTGTCCGCTCGAGCGGACTGTAAAATGCACAAAACTGCTGAGAGGTGGTTTTTCCCGCTCGAGCGGGCTTTCCGACGCTCAAGCGGACCAAGCGGATTCAGAAATTTCTGAACCTCCATTCGAGTCCCAACCTGGTATTCACTCCATTTTTACATGCAACCCAAGGTTAGGTTAATGCAATATGCTCACCTAACTTCACTATAACATGAATTCTACCTTGAGTATCATAAATTAAGCAAGATTAGGAGCTTCAACAAGCCATCTCCCTCTCTAATTCCATTCTTGGATTCAAGTTCTTCATATCCTTGAAACATAACACATGATATATGCATAATTCCATGAAGTGATGATAGAAAACCATAGATTGAAGTATAATTTCATACCACACCCAGTCTAGATGCCTAAGCAACCAATTGGGAGAAACCCTCATTACTCAAGCATGAATTAGACATGAATCAAACATACACATCAAGTACAAACTCTAAGTGGCCATAACAAGAAGGATTGAGCTTACCTTGAATTCAATCCTACACCTCTAACACTTTTGCCAAGCTTTCTTGTTGAATCCCTTCTCCCCCGATTTCTCCTCTTTTTCCCCCAAAATGGTTTTCACGTTTGTTTTTTTTTTTTATCAAGGCTCCAAAGTCTTAGATATATATATATATATATATATATAAGTAAGGCATATAAGACAAAAATGAATCGTTTAATCTTTCCAAAATTAGAATTTCGCGAACATGTTTAATATTACCTAAAAATTATGCTGATTACGGATATATAATCAATTTCAGCTAATTAAGCTGTTAAGGCTTCCAATTTCTAATTCAAACGTGTTAATGGTGACAGATAGTTTCCTTGTGAGATAGATAAACATGCATAGACATGGATTTGACTTCCTTAATAATGATTTTTTTTTCACGGAACTACACAGTAAGCATTTAAAAGTACCAATTGAGGACTGAGAATATAACAGAAATCATGCGCGAGGGTCGGGTTATTACACTCTTCCCCCCTTAAATAAGTTTGGTCCTCCAAACTTGGGTTACCTTAGGGTTGGAACAGGTGTGGGTACTGATGTTGCATTTCTTCCTCTCTTTCCCATGTTGCATCGATTCCGTAATGTTCTTGCCACTCAACTTTTACCATTGGAATCTCACGAGTTCGTAGTTGTTTTACTTGTCGGTCCAGAATACGAATTGGTTTTTCCTCATAAATCAACTTGTCATTCAATTCAATTTGGTGGTAGTCAATAACATGTGACGGATCCGGGAGATACCCACGAAGCATAGAGACATGAAACACGTTATGCACTTGACTCATATGTGGTGGAAGGGCAACTCGGTAAGCTACCGAACCCACTTTTTCCAGAATTTGAAAAGGACCGACATACCGGGGTGTCAACTTACCTTTCTCTCCGAATCTTGGGTGCCCTTTCATCGGAGTGACTTTTACGAAGACATAGCTATCCACGTCAAATTCCAAATCTCTCCGTCGGTTATCAGCATAACTTTTCTGCCTACTTTGAGCAGTTTTCAACCTTTCCCGAATAATGTGAACTTTTTCAGTGGTCAACTGAACAATTTCAGGCCCGAATAAGGATCTATCTCCAACTTCAGCCCAGCACACGGGAGAACGGCATGGTCTTCCATACAAAGCTTCATAAGGTGCCATATCTATGCTCGAATGGTAACTATTATTATATGCAAATTCTATCAACGGTAGATGGGTTTCCCAACTGTCTTGAAAATCTAGTACACACATTCGGAGCATATCCTCAAGAGTCTGTATCGTCCTCTCGGATTGACCGTCGGTCTGAGGGTGGAAAGTCGTGATGAACTTTAATTTTGTACCCATTGCTTCCTGTAAACTTTGCCAGAATCTAGAAACAAACTTAGTATCTCTTTCTGACACAATTGAGACCGGAACACCATGAAGCCTCACAATTTCATTTACATAAATCTCTGCTAATTTATTTGCATTATACTGAGTTTTTACTGGCAGAAAGTGGGCGGACTTAGTTAATCGGTCCACAATGACCCAAATTGAATTCATATCTCGAGGAGTCCGTGGCAACCCCATAACAAAATCCATGGTCAAATGTTCCCATTTCCATTCTGGGATGGGAAGAGGTTGCAATAATCCGGCAGGTCTTTGATGTTCCGCTTTTACTTGTTGACATTGCAAACACTTAGAAACAAACTCCGCAATCTCCTTCTTCATACTTGGCCACCAGAAATTCTTCTTTAAATCTCGGTACATTTTAGTACTCCCTGGATGCATTGAGAACCTTGAGGTATGCACGTCTTCCATCAGTTTTTGTTTAAGACTCATCACATTGGGAACACATAGTCGGTTTTGAAATTTGAGCACTGAATCTACCACACCGAATCCCGGTTTTGGTTTTGTTTCGAACTCCTCATGTATCTTCCTCAAAGTTTCATCTTCCATTTGGTGCACTTTAATCTCTTCAAGTAAGGTTAGTTGTGCTACTATCGCTGTTATTAGGGCTTTTTGACCATGTAACACAAGGTTCAATTCCACCTTATCCGATTCAATTGCCAAGTCCTTTTGTCCTGTAACCATACTTGCCATATCTGCCAAAATCCCCATATTTTTCCGACTGAGCGCATCTGCAACTGTGTTGGCTTTACCAGGATGATAATGAATCTGCAGGTCATAATCTTTCAAAAGTTCCAACCACCGTCGTTGCCGCATATTTAATTCTTTCTGAGTAAAAAGGTACTTGAGACTTTTATGATCAGTGTATACCTCACAGGTGCTACCATACAAATAATGTCTCCATATCTTTAAAGCAAAGACTACCGCTGCTAGCTCCAGATCATGAGTGGGGTAATTCTTCTCATGGAGTTTCAGCTGTCTAGATGCATAAGCGATGACACTTCCATTTTGCATAAGTACGCAACCAAGCCCTTTGTGCGAAACGTCACTGTAGATTACAAATCCTTCTGTACTGGATGGTAAGGCCAAAACTGGTGCTGTTGTCAACCTTGTCTTCAATTCCTAGAAAGCAGATTCTCATTCCTCTGACCATTCGAACGCAACTCCCTTTCGTATTAGTTGTGTAAGTGGCACAGCAATTTTAGAAAAATCTTGAACAAATCTCCTGTAATAACCAGCTAGCCCCATAAAACTACGCACCTCAGTCACATCAGTAGGAGTTGGCCAATTTACGATTGCCTCAATCTTGTGTGGATCAACAGAAACCCCTTCCTTTGTGATGATATGCCCCAGAAATGCCACCTCTAGTAGCCAGAATCACATTTCTTCAGCTTTGCATACAATTTCTTTTCCCGGAGGGTTTGAAGGATCAAATGGAGGTGATTCTCGTGAGCATCTGCATTCTTCGAATAGATGAGAATATCGTCAATAAAGACCACCACAAATTCATCCAAATAGGGCTTGAAAACACGGTTCATCAAATCCATGAAAGCTGCTGGCGCGTTAGTAACTCCGAATGGCATAACCAAAAATTCATAATGACCGTACCGGGTTCGAAAAGCTGTCTTCTCAACATCCTCAGCCTTGACCTTTAATTGATGGTACCCAGACCATAGATCAATCTTGGAAAAGACTTGTGCCCCTGCAGCTGGTCAAATAGGTCATCAATCCTTGGTAATGGATACTTATTCTTGATTGTGACTTTATTAAGTTCCTTATAGTCAATACAAAGCCGGAGTGTTCCATCCTTCTTCTTTACAAACAGAACTGGTGCACCCCACGGAGACACACTCGGACGGACGAACCCCTTGTCCAATAAATCTTGCAACTGCATTTTCAATTCCTTCATCTCAACTGGCGACATTCTATATGGGGTCTTCGAAATGGGTTGTGTTCCCGGTGCTACTTCAATGGTAAACTCAATTTCACGGTCTATCAACTGCCCTGGTAATTCTTCAGGAAAGATGTCCAGAAATTCACACACAATTGGGATCATGTCAACAGTTCCATTCACTACTTGCCCCTCCAAAACACTGCATAAATACCCCTGACACCCTTTTTGAATTAATTTACATGCCTTTGCTGCCGAGATCAAATAAGGTGGAGCAATTACGCCATGCCCCTGTAAGGTAGACTCTAATTGTCCCGGAGGATGGAAACTGACTCGTTTAGTTAGACAATCTATAGTTACACCATATTCACCCAACCAATCCATTTCCAAAATAATATCAAAATAAGTCATATCGAGGGGTAACAGATTGGCATAAACCCGGACATCCCCAAGCTCGAGTTCGCAACCACAATAAACAGAAGTACAAAGCACAGAATCTCCCATAGGAGAGGATACACATAACACATAAGACAGTGTTTCTTCGATTTTATCTAAGTTTTGTGCAAATAATTTTGACACAAAGGAATGAGTAGAGCCAGAGTCAAATAAGGTAGAAGCAGAATGACCGTGAACCATAAATGTACCTGACACCACTGTTGCTACATTCTGCACATCTCCTGGAACCAATGCAAACACTCTGCCTTGTTTCGCTATGTCTTTATTGTTGTTAGATTTGGCCGGTGCCTTGGTGTTAGTAGTTGGTGTAGACCCTGCTGAGCTAATAGCAGCCCTGTTACCATTTCGTTGATTCCTCTGAGGGCAATCCTTTATCAAATGACCCGTTTTGCCGCACTGATAACAGGCTCCAGACTTCCATTGGCATATCCCATGATGCCTCTTTCCACATTCCGAACAAACAGGAATCGTACCCTGATTAGGGGCAAAAGTATTTGAAGTCCCTGAGTTTTGTTTCTTGTTTGGTGGAGTAGCCGCTCCCTTTGACCATTGATTATTTTGCCTCTTTCCTTTCCATTCTGCAATCCGGTTCTGAGCAGCGAGGTTTCCCTCAGCTATAACAGCCCTCTCCAGCACATCTACGTAGGTAGGCAACTTTAACATATTGACTCGATCCAAGATGGCACCCTGTAAGCCCCCTTCAAATTTTCGTGCCTTTTTATAGTCCGTGTCCACCATATGCGGTGCAAACCAGGCTAACTCTGCAAATTGGGCCTCATACTCAGCAACAGTCTTGTTCCCTTGTCTGAGAGTTTCGAATTCAGTCACCTTTTTGTCCCGCATGCTTTGAGGGAAATATTTATCATAAAACAACCCCAAAAATCTGTCCCATGTTAACTCTGGATGGATTGTCCTCGTAAGCATCCACCACCTCCGCGCCTCGTCCTCAAGAGTGAAGGCAGCTAGTTGTACCTTTTGAGCTTCGGTGCAGGGAAAGACTTCAAATAACTTCTCTATGCCCAATACCCATGCCTCAGCTTTCATCGGTTCTATTCCCCCTTTGAAGGTTGGCGGTTTCATCTTTTTAAACTCCTTAGTAAAGGTGATAGTTCGGTCTTCAGCATGAAAATGTTGCACTACAGGTGGGGGTACTGGTGGTGGTGGCGGCTGTTGGTGAGGCTGTTGTGGTTGTTGTCGTAGGGTCTCTGCCACTTCCATAAGCATCCTTTCCATCCTATCCAGTCGTGCTGAGGTGGCATCTTCCACATCTTCGGTCCTTGTTCTCACCATGATCTACACAACAATTAATTAAATACTATTGACATAATGCGACATGGTTAGTATTATCAGAGTACACTTAATGTTGCCATCGAACTTGTCTTACATTTTTAGGATGTCATACATGAGGCCAAACCCTTTCTAGACACCCTACAGCTCAATGGATCCGTGTGTGAGATAGCAACTCGTGCTCTGATACCACTGTCACGCCCTACACCTCCCCTAAAGGTGTGGGCATGGCCTAAGCGAGAACGGACATAAAAACTGATGTACATACCGTACGGGGCCTTATCGGAAGCATAAATTATTAATATAACATAAATACAAGCATACTCCATTGAGCTATTTCTAATATGCCAGGATCTCATGCATTACATACATCATCAAAAGCGGGTAAAGTTTAAAACTATATTCCCTGGATAACGCGAACAACATATACATTTACAGTCCTAGCCCGATAATTGGGCATAACAAAAGGAATATGAGAGTTATGTACAACGTCTGTAGGTGGCTCTCAAAAGTAGACCCATATCTTAGCAGCTTCCCAAAAATAAATGGCCTGGTGTAGTGCCTGGACATGTAAAGGTTGACAAAAGGGACAGCATCGAAGTTAGGACTGACCTCCTGACTGATAACCTACAGAAACAGACATAATGGAGAGTGAGCCGGGCTTAATGAGCAGTAATACATAATGAACGACGTCTGACTTAAAGCTTAAATACATCAATACATAGGAAGGTGCAGCATGCACATGGTTTGTCTGATTCTGCGTTTAGTTCATAATGGCCTTAGGCCTAATCCTGTGACATAAGCATGTGGCTATAAGCCCTTGAAACATGATGGCACGAAGCCCTTCAACATATGGCACGAGGCCCTTGTAATACATTTGAAACTTGTGGCACGAGGCCCTTGAAAATGCACTTGAGACTTGTGGCACACGGCCCTTTAAATACACTTGAAACTTGTGGCACATGGCCCTTGAAATACACTTGAAACTTGTGGCACATGGCCCTTGAAATACACTTGAAACTTGTGGCACATGGCCCTTGAAAATGGCATATAGCCCTTGTAAATGCTTTTCTTTACATGTAACATTAACATATCTTAAACATGCATAAGTACATTACATGCTTGAGACATTAACATGATTGCATAACATTACATAGGTACTACTACTCACAGTGTTGAGGTGGCGTGTTGCTTCCTTCTGGAATGTGCCCTGCACACAATTAATACATTAGTCTCTTTTTTTTATATACAGCATTTCTTGAGTCTTACACCTTGCATGCATTTACAACCGCTTTAATATCATCTGTAAAATATTCTAAAAATACCGGAGAAGCAAGCACTCAAAACTGAACAAACATTTAATTTTTTCCTGAAAATGAGTCCCCCGCTCGAGCGTCACTTTGTCCGCTCGAGTGGACTGTAAAATGCACAAAACTGCTGAGAGGTGGTTTTTCCCACTCGAGCGGGCTTTCCGACGCTCAAGCGGACCAAGCGGACCAAGCGGATTCTGAAATTTTTGAACCTCCATTCGAGTCCCAACCTGGTATTCACTCCATTTTTACATGCAACCCAAGGTTAGGTTAATGCAATATGCTCACCTAACTTCACTATAACATGAATTCTACCTTGAGTATCATAAATTAAGCAAGATTAGGAGCTTCAACAAGCCATCTCCCTCTCTAATTCCATTCTTGGATTCAAGTTCTTCATATCCTTGAAACATAACACATGATATATGCATAATTCCATGAAGTGATGATAGAAAACCATAGATTGAAGTATAATTTCATACCACACCCAGTCTAGATGCCTAAGCAACCAATTGGGAGAAACCCTCATTACTCAAGCATGAATTAGACATGAATCAAACATACACATTAATTACAAACTCTAAGTGGCCATAACAAGAAGGATTGAGCTTACCTTGAATTCAATCCTACACCTCTAACACTTTTGCCAATCTTTCTTGTTGAATCCCTTCTCCCCCGATTTCTCCTCTTTTCCCCCAAAATGGTTTTCACGTTTGTTTTTTTTTTTAATCAAATCTCCAAAGTCTTAGATATATATATATATATATATATATAAGTAAGGCATATAAGACAAAAATGAATCGTTTAATCTTTCCAAAATTAGAATTTCGCGAACATGTTTAATATTAGCTAAAAATTATGCTGATTACGGATATATAATCAATTTCAGCTAATTAAGCTGTTAAGGCTTCCAATTTCTAATTCAAACGTGTTAATGGTGACAGATAGTTTCCTTGTGAGATAGATAAACATGCATAGACATGGATTTCACTTCCTTAATAATAATTTTTTTTTTCACGGAACTACACAGTAAGCATTTAAAAGTACCAATTGAGGACTGAGAATATAACAGAAATCATGCGCGAGGGTCGGGTTATTACATGTATATTCACTGCCGGCAACTCACATCTCTCTGTATGAGAAGCGGATTGAGTGTGAATATATTGCAAGAATTGAGAGGGTCAAACATGCTCTTTTTGAGGGATTAGAGATGTTTTTTGGACCGGTATAATTAGATGAATCTGGGGTATATGAGACACAATCTCTGTTCTTTTTGGGTTGATGTCTCTATACTGACTCATATTGAGTTTCTAGTATAGAGCTCCCACATGCAGGTGTTCTCAGCGGTCGCACGGTGCATTGGCTAGTATGAGATTGTTCATTTTTTGGGAGATTGAGATAGAGATGTGGCAGTGTCATGCCAACTCATGTGCGAGTGGGAGATGTTAGTAATGGGCGCCCATGTGGCATGACCATTTGAATTTGAATTTGAATCTTATCCAAATAGGTTTTGAAATTGAATTCAAACCTATTTAGGATAACCACTCAGGATACAGATATTATCTCCATTAACTGATATGGATAGATAATAATAACACATTATATATCTGGTATATGGGTTATGGGTGATTAAGAGAGAAACAACGTATGATCTGAGTTTTACCCATATACTGACTCTCTCCCAAAAACAACGATCAAGTCATTTGCACTGTGATTTGTGTGGGTGATATTCATTCTGTAATATCACTTCACTGCTGGGTTGGTTTATCAGATTCTGGAAGCACGTGATTTATCCACGAGATCCTTCAATTCAGACTCTGTTTATAAGGTATGATCATAATTTTTATTCTGCTGCGTTATACTTTGTTTACATATGCAACCTCAATCTCCTCCTCTTCTTCCACCAGAATTCCCTCTATTTGGATGTAATGGCTTATGCTTAGTCTAGAAATATGAACTCTCTGTGCAGAAATATGAACTCTACTAGATGCAATTTAAAGACTCCCTCCGAGGTTAGCTCTCTCTCTCCCACTCTCTCACACATTTTTTTTTTTTCAAAAAATTCCATTCCCTTTCTCCAATTTCTAAGAGCAAGCTTTCCCTAAATTTTATAAGCTTTTCCCTAAATTTTACAAGCTTTCCCTAAATTTTATGGCTATCCTAAATTCTAAAAGATGGTGGGTTTGGTAGGAGCTGTGGGTTATTTGCCCACGGTTTGTTTGTTTGTATTTTTTTTTTCTTTGTGTGTATTTGTAGGGGTTCTGAAAATTGATACCCTAAGATTTTTATCTAAGGTATTTAGTAAGAATAATTAATATATTGAATCCTAATTAAACTAATTTATAAACAACAAATATTGAACACTCACAAAATTATCATTCTTAATAGGGTCTTTGTTAGTGATAGGATTTGGTTAATTTAAAACTAATTAATTAATTTACTTATTTATTTTCTTTCAAGAATAATTTAAATATGGGTTTTCACACAATAAGATTCTCATTGATTTGTGATGGGAAAGAAAATAAAATTTAAAAACCATTATGTAAACATAGATAAAAATAAGAGGATCATGAAGAATGACATGAAAAAAAAAAAAGAACCCTTTCATCTTTAATTTTATTTTTTTCTTTTTCTTTTTCTATATATTAGTATCTTTGAGAAATTTTGAATTTCATGTTTTATTTAGGTCTGCAACAATGTGAGGAAAAAAAAAATGTATATATATATTGTTTTTAGTTTGTTTGTTTGTATTTTGTGTTTTTATAAACAAAAACAAAGGAAAGTTAGAAAACATCTTTTCTTTTCTTTTTTCTTTTTTTCCTCACATTTTTTGAAAATTCAAAAATAGCTAAAAAAAATAAATAATAGAAAACAGAAGCACAACAAAACATGCGTTCTTACAGGCTGTGAAGTCATGGGCATCACTGTTTACTGTTTTTTTGGGGGTCATTTTGCCTTTCATTTTCTTCTTTTTTTTTTCCTTTAGCTTTGGATATTAAGATAATCTCTCTATTATCATTCATCTGCCATTCTTTGAGCTCCTTTCTATTATTAATTTTTTTTTCTATCTTAACACTGTTTTGTTAATCTCGCCATCATGAATTAAAAATATATAAACATTCTATTTAAATGAGATGAAGACTGTATAAACCTGACCTTTCTCAAATCTTAGGCATCATGGATTAGAAATACAAATATAAATTCAATGTATATAGGAATAAGATTGTATATATCTGGTCTTTTCTAAATCCTAGTATCATTCTATATTTTTCATATATTTGTAGCATATAAAGGAGTGGGTTGGATTTTTGGTTATTTTAGCTATTTTGGCCTGGGCTAAAAAGTTTGGTTTGGGAAGGACTTTTTGGCTTTTTGACTTTTTTTTGTGAGAGAAAAGTGTAATGATTTTGGGTTGGATATAATGTTTTATTTTTTGTAGCTAAAATAGCCTATTTTATCTTTTGTGGCTAAAATAGTCACTTTAGCCCTTCCCAAACAATGTCAAATGTGTATTACAATCCCAAAACATTAAGAGAAATAGTGAAACTTTTTTTTTAAAAAACCAAATTGGATGAAATTCCTATTTTACTAACTTGCCACCCAAGTTTGAGGAGGTTGGCCGACTTCGTGGCAGAATTCACCCCAGAAACCATGGAACATCGGGCTCCGTTGAGCCAGGATGAGCATTGTCCCAGCAAGCAAGGAGAATCCCAGCCAAAGGCAAAAGAGCAAAGGAAGGAAAGGCTCAGACCCTGCAGGATCTACATCGGCGACTCATTCAGACTATTCGTCGATGGAAGCTCGAACCGACAAGGAGCGGGGGCAGGAGTACTACTGATATCTCCAGATGGAGAAATAATAGAACAGTCCATCAGATTGTGGTTCAAGGCCTCAAACAATGAAGCGGAATACAAAGCATTAATTGCAGGGCTAAAACTGGCAGCAGCAGCAGAAGCAGATGAGGTAATAGTTTTTTGTGATTCACAACTTATTGTTAACCAGTCAACAGGTGAATTTGCAGCCAGGGACGAAAGGATGTCGGCTTATGCAAAAGAGGTCGTCAGATTGGCAGCCCTATTTCAGAACTGCCGACTACTCTAAGTTAGCCGAGATGATAATACTCACGCCGACGCATTGGCTAACCTGGCAAGTTCAATGCAGACTGGAAAAACAAGGACAATTATGATCGACTATATGTCGGGCCCGAGCATAGAACCAGAGAACACAGAGCAGCAAGCAATGTGTGTGGACATGGGGCCAAGCTGGATGGATGCAATTGTTGCATTCCTGAAGGAAAGTTGCCAGAAGATCGTAAGGAGGCACACAAAGTCAGATTGAAATCTGCAAGATTCTGTCTGACAGAAGATGGACATCTTTACAGAAGATCCTTCACCGGACCCCTTTTAAGGTGCGTACATCCTTTGCTGGTTGAAGATTTCCTATATGAAATTCATGAAGGAATTTGTGGAAGCCACGCTGGGGGCAGATCATTAGCCCACAGGGCCATTACCCAGGGGTATTGGTGGCCCTACATGCAAAAGGATGCTGAAGCCTACGTAAAGAAGTGTGAACAATGCCAAAGGTTTGCACCTTTGATACATCAGCCAGCTGCTGACCTAAACCCAGTATCCAGCCCTTGGCCGTTTGCCCAATGGGGCATGGATCTTGTTGGGAAACTTCCCCAGGCAACTGGGCAGAGAAAATACCTGTTGGTGGCAATAGATTACTTTACGAAGTGGATAGAGGCAGAACCTCTTGCCAAAATCCGAGATGTGGACGTCAAGAACTTTATATGGAGAAACATCATCACCAGATTTGAGATACCAAGAGCAATAGTTGCCGACAACGGAACACAGTTTGACAGCAAACTCATCAAAAACTTTTGTGCGAAATTCAAGATCAAAAATTACTTTTCAACACCAAGTTTTCCCCAAAGTAATGGGTAAGCAGAAGCATCCAACAAAGTAATTTTGGATGGAATAAAGAAGAGGCTGCAAGCAGCAAAAGGAAAGTGGGTAGACGAATTGCCCAACGTACTTTGGGCATATCGGACTACGCCGAGAAGATCAACAGGGGAATCCCCCTTTTCCATGGCTTATGGCACAAAAGCAGTTATCCCATTAGAGATCGGCATCCCCGGGATCAGGACCCAGGGAGTAGAGAATGGCACCAATGACATACTCTTAGCCCGAGATCTAGATCTTCTAGAAGAACAAAGAGAAAAAGCTGCAATTCAGCTAGCAGTACACCAGCAACAGCTTGCTAGAGCTTACAACAAAAAGGTCAATCCAAGAGATTTTCAAGTCGGTGACCTAGTCCTGAGAAAAGTCGTCGGCAACAAGAAGGATCCCAGAGAAGGGCAAGCTTGGCCCAAACTGGGAAGAACCCTACAGAATTACTTCAGTATTAGGCAATGGAGCTTATCGACTTGAAGATAACGAGGGCAAAGCACTGCCAAGACCTTGGAACACTTGTAATTTGAAATTCTTCTATCATTAGATGTGCATTATTTTTGGCCGAAATCATCAATAAAATCTTTTCCCTTTTCTTAAAACACATATATCTGATAAAGTCACATATTGGTGTTTTTTAAGACATAAATAATAAGAACCCAAGTAGAACTCAGGTTCACATTGGGGGCAAAGAGAAGACAAAGACACTTAATTCATTTGTTGAAATTTATAACAATTTACAAGTTGGAATTAAGCTGATTCATTATCTTCACTTGTTGAAATTTGTAGCAATTTACAAGTCGAAGTTAAGCCGAGATTATTCCTTATCTTCACTTGTTGAAATTTGTAGCAATTTACAAGCTGGAGTTAAGCTGATTCCTTAATTCACTTTTTGAAATTTGTAGCAATTTACAAGTTGAAATTAAGCTGATTCCTTATCTTCACTTGTTGAAATTTGTAGCAATTTAAAAGTTGGAGTTAAGCTGATTCCTTAATTCACTTGTTGAAATTTGTAGCAATTTACAAGTTGGAATTAAGCTGATTCCTTATCTTCACTTGTTGAAATTTGTAGCAATTTACAAGTTGGAGTTAAGCTGATTCCTTATCTTCACTTGTTGAAATTTGTAGCAATTTACAAGTTGAAGATAAGATGAGATTACTGTTTCTCTTCACTTGTTAAAATTTGCAGCAATTTACAAGTCAAAGTGAAGCCGAGGTTATAGTTTGCAACTTATAGCAATCTACAGGTTGATCCAAACAAAGAAGATGCTTAACACTTGTTGAAATTTGTAGCAATTTACAAGGTAATGTTAAGTCGACATGTGATCATCCGTCGAAATTTACAGCAATTGACAGGTTGAAGTAAAAGCTAAGTATATTGTTCAAACACTTGTTGAAATTTGCAGCAATTTACAAGTAGACCATTATTTAACAGTTGTTATAACTTGAGAACAGTTTACAGTATATGTTAACACTTGTTGAAATTTGTAGCAATTTACAAGTAGGTTAGACCGAGATCACTGTTTACATGCTTGTTGAAACTTGAGAAGAAACATGCAGAGTTAATATTGAATAGTATATGTTAAACACTTGTTGGAATTTATCAAGAGTTTTCAGGTCTGTATCTTGCCGAAGTAAAGTTTGATGTTGTTGTACCCGAGGTATGTAATCCCGAGGAGATTGCACAAAGGAGGCAAAATGAAAAGGCATGCAAAATATTCCAAGAATAGAATCATACAGATGCAGTCAAGAGAAATTAAAGATTAAAGCATTCAGACAACACAGTTGAAGTCTTTCACAAAAGAGGGAACAATCCAAGAATAACTGTTCAGAAGAAGGCACATCGGCCCTACAAAGAAACTTATATTGTCCAAAAAAAAAAAAAACAAAAAAAAAGTACAAGACATGGAAGTTATGATTCTTCAGTTTCAGGAATGATTTGGGTCTGGACCTCGGCAGGTTCCTAGGGAACTTCTTCGGCAGCCTTCTCTGCAGCCAGCTCGGCATCAATCTCAGCAAGCGATTTGTCAAGGCTTCTTTCAGCTAAGAGAAGGTCGGATGATAAGTACCCTGTAATAGATTCCCTAGGAGCCTCCCCAACCTCATCACCCTCTTCATCCAAAGTTAAGTCCATGACTTGCTCAGTTGAAGGAGGGGACTTGGCCTCAGTAGCATCCTTGGATTTCCTCACCAAGGCCTCATCTTCATTATTATCTTCATCCTCAGCCTCAGATTCTGACTCATCTTCATCTTGACTTGAAGGAGGAGCAGGAGGAGGGAATGTGAGAGGAATAGCTTCAGCCTTAAGCAGAGGAGAATCTTCAAGAACATTGAGTTTTTTGGCCAGGGACATCCAACCAAGGGAAAAGCCCCTGTTGCATGCTTGCCTTGCATGCCTGCCTAACTTGTAGTTTGTAGTCCTCAGCAACATCGGCCATTCCTTGGGCGTAAGCTTTTTCACCGGCTTCAGTAATTTTGACGTTTTTAGTGGCCAGGGCCTCCTCGAGCTCTTTTTCGGCTTGAGCCCTTTTTACCTCGGCATCTCTCTTCTCGGCCTCGGCAACTTTTTTGATGGCTTCAGCAGACTCCGCTTTTTCTTCTGCCATCTGTTGGGCCTTCGTGGCAGCCTCGGCCTGATCTTCCAGCCTCTTCATCTTTGTCAGAACAGCTTTGTTCTCCTTTTTGAGGGCAGAAACCTCCCTCTTCATGTCGGCCAACTTCTCCCTTATTTCAAAAGCTTGCATGGAGAAAGAGTGGGCATGTTGGATAGCCTGAAAGAGCACAAAGGCACAAATTGTTACAAACCTATACAAATTAAAGAGAAAACAAATTTCAACAGAAAGGCACTTACTTGGACTGTGTGTTGCAGCATAAAGGCGAAATTCTCATACTCACTCATCTTGGTGTTTCGCTCAAGATCGCCTGGGAGGAGTAGGGCAGTACTTAGGGCCACGCCGACGTTTATGTCATCAGCGCTTTCATTGGTCATTATGGGCCTATCTTCCAGAGTAATCTGGGGAGCCCAAGGAACATCAGATTTTTTGGACCCCGAGGTCGTCGCAGACGATGACCTCGGCTTCTTAGGTTGAGTAGATTGAGATGGCTGGGATTTTGCACGCCTCTTCCCAGCGGAAGGTTGAGATTTGCTGCTTTCAGCCAGCTTCGAGATGGGTAGAGCATCCTCAGCCTCAACCTCAGTAGCCTTGGCCTTAGGCTGGGCCTTCATGGTTCTTCTTGGCTTCGATGGGGGCAAAGGTTGGGTCGGAACAGCATCGACGTCGGTTGGAAGGTTGGCTAGGAGATCTTGGGCGACAGGCTTTTGGCGAACCATCTCGGCAGTTTTTACGAGTCTTCACCGACGTTTTCTTTCTGGAATTGGGACTAAGTATGTGGTTGAAGTATATGGTTGATTGGTTGGGTCCGATGTGGACTCTTGATCTGTTCGAGATGTTGATGCTGTTTGTAGAATGGTAGCAGATGGAGGAGATTGGCTCTTCTTCTTTCTTTTTGGGACGTCGGGCAGTGTGGATTTGTATGTCGAAATAAAATTCAGCAACAGGGGAGCCTTGCGCTTGTGGATTGAAAGAGCTAGGAGCTTCTTTAAATATTTTCCTGGGAAGAAGGATTGGCGAAAGTTTTTTGGTGGCTAATGAAGATCTGCAGGACAAGCAAACAAGACATAAAAAATAGAAAGTTTTGAAGACTTGGAAAAGAAATAACTAAGTATTGGCGCTGGGCACTTACCCTTGCCCTCTTTAACTGTTCGAGGAAGAGGGTAGAGGTGAACATCTTCGTCTAGACCAAATTCCCAATTTCCCGAAGCAATGACAAAGTCATCCCCGGCTCCCTTATTGGAGTCCGGGAGGTCGGCTACAATTTTGAATTCAGTCGACCTTGGCTTGAGGTAGTAGACGTAACCTTTTTCCTTCAGGTTAAGGGGGCACATAGTATAACAATATTGTACATCGGCAAGGGTAATCCTAACATTCTTCTGCCTAGCTAGGGCTATGATACCAAAAATCACTCGGTAAGAGTTTATGGCAAGTTGCATAGGGTTCAGCTTATAATAATGCAAAATCTCGCGAAAAAGAATGTTAAGTGGAAGCCGAAGTCCACACTCAGCAAAGGCTACAATAGGGAAAGGCATGGTATTTTTGGTAGGCATGATGGAGTCACCATCCCCAGCCAGTTTCAGGTAGACATCGGCAGGGACGGAGAACTCCTGCCTAAAGTACTCAAGTTTGACCGGGGTATCAACCCTATGTCTCCACATGCCCATAACGTCGGCCTAAAGTCAGAGGGCTAGATTACAGGAAGAAGGTGCTCTTAAGGGGTTATTGGGACCTCAACAAAACCCTAGGTAAGGACTGATAAGGCTTGTTTCAGTTTTCCCTAAAAATTAAAGGTTCTACAGACAAAACCCAAACCTAAATCTATGAAGGCAAAGATTGAAAGCAAGAATTAAAGGCAGAGATCTGGAAAACAACACAGGAAACAAGAAACAAAGAATGACGTTTCAGAATCAAGAACAGGGATGGGCTATCCAGAACACGAAAAATACAAAGGGTTAAGGGCCAAGAACAGTGGTGAAACAGTGCAAGTGTTCATGGCATGTGAAAAATCATGAAATAAGACGTATTCAGGTGAATGATTCACAAATAATGCTTAAGCAGAACAGTAATAGCAAGAAACTTTAGAAACAATCAAGAATTAGAATAAGAGGGTAAGGGGGCCAATTGCTTTCTAGATAAAATGAAGCCAGAGCGATATTCGCCGAGATCTGACGACACTTGTAACAGTGGCGAAAGCTTCGCGGGAATGGAAGAATAAAGACGGACGCAGAGTTTGGGGCTGAGAGCAATGGCAGATTCGAAGAATACTAGAGCTTTTAGAGAGAAAAAAAGCAAGAAATCAGAATGCAAAAAGTGGAGAAAGGAAGAAGGAAAGAAAATTTTTAACAAAAACTGGAAACGGCGGCAAAAGCAGGGCATTTATTACGCTTGGAGCAACGCACACGTCAGACGGCGCAGACGAGTGAAAGAGAGCTTTCAGGCGCGTCACAGACACGGGCCAATGAAGACAAAGCACGTGAAAGGAACGGTTAGATATGCATGACAGCTCATGTGCGTGGTGGAGTTCATTTGAATTCTTGTTCTCCGAAGAGAACACATCGGCTTGAAAATGAACTATCTCGGCCAAACAGTTTTTGAGCCACTATGCAGAAATCGATATCGATGTAGGTTCCATCACCTCAGGATGCCGAGGTAATAGAACCTAGGGGCAGTTGTGGGGATATATTTTCTAAGTACCAACACGTGGACTCAGATTTGGGGCAGAGGGCTGTTGTGGGATATATTTTTTGGATACCAACACGTGGCATGGCGACGCCGACGTGTTTGGCCGAGGTGCCACGTGTCGTGGAAATTACGCCGAGGTGATCTCGGAGTTGCCGAGGTTATCTCCGAATGTATCGGAATCCGAGATAAGCGGATAAGGGACAAGAGTCCTAGGACAAAGAGGAGACTTAGCCAAGATAAGGATAAAGCTCTTAGGGAGTTTATCTTTATCTCTTGAAGAGTCCAAAGTAAGTATTAAATTGGAGTCCATAGAAGTCAGGCTTCTAGTAGGACTTGGATTAAGTAAACTATAAAAGAGAGGCACCCCCATGGGTCTAAGGTACGCAGTTTCATACTCAAGCTTGTGAGTATAGCACTTGATTATCTTTGAGAGATATACTGTCTTGATCGTCGGAGTGTCCCCGGGTGGAAGAGCCACCGCCGGAGCCTTCTCTTTCTGTTACAGGTTTACTGAAGCCATCTATTCTGCCAGTGCTCGCCAGCTGATTACTAGGCGGGCAATGTGGTAAGAAAATTACCCACACACCTAGTATCATTCTATCTTTTTCATGTATTTGTAGCATATAAAGGAGTGGGTTGGATTTTTGGTTATTTTAGCTATTTTGGCCTAGGCTAAAAAGTTTGGTTTGGGAAGGACTTTTTGGCTTTTTGACTTTTTTTTGTGAGAGAAAAGTGTAATGATTTTGGGTTGGATATGATGTTTTATTTTTTGTAGCTAAAATAGCATATTTTATCTTTTGTGGCTAAAATAGTCACTTTAGCCCTTCCCAAACAATGTCATATGTGTATTACAATCCCAAAACATTTAGAGAAATAGTGAAACTTTTTTTTAAAAAACCAAATTGGATGAAATTCCTATTTTACTAACTTGCCACCCAAGTTTGAGGAGGTTGGACCATTTGCTTTTAATGGCATTGGCTGAATTACATTAAGTGAGAATATAAATTAGTACAACGAAAAATGATTGGTTAAGTACATGAATGAGTGTCTCAACTATTATGTGTATGTACCCATAATTGACAAAAATGAAATCTGATTGGCTTATTTGGCTAATTGTTAATAATTTTCACACTAAATTGACCCACCATTCAACTTAGTCATCAAATTTTTTGAAGTTTGGAATTATCATTAATCAATCTGACCCAATCCTTTTCATTTTCAGTACAATAAGATTCTCATTGATTTGTGAAGGGAAAGAAAATAAAATTTAAAAACCACTATGTAAACACAGATAAAAATAAGAGGATCATGAAGAATGACATGAAAAAAAAATATAAAACCCTTTCATCTTTAATTTTATTTTTTTCTTTTTTTTTCTATATATTAGTATCTTTGAGAAATTTTGAATTTCATGTTTTATTTAGGTCTGCAACAATGTGAGGAAAAAAAAAATGTATATATATATATTGTTTTTAGTTTGTTTGTTTGTGTTTTGTGTTTTTACAAACAAAAACAAAGGAAAGTTAGAAAACATCTTTTCTTTTCTTTTTTCTTTTTTTCATCACATTTTTTGAAAATTCAAAAATAGCTAAAAAAAATAAATAATAGAAAACAGAAGCACAACAAAGATGAATAAATATTTACTAAAAAACGAAGGGTAAAACGTTGGATAAGAAACAGAGATGAATAAATATTTACTAAAAAAAAAATTTGCACCAATCAAAAAAAATATATTTACTAAAAAGAAACAGAGAAGAATAAGAAACAGTGGGACTCCTTGGATAAGAAACAGAGATGAATAAATATTTACTAAAAAAAAAATTTGCACCAATCAAAAAAACGGTGGGGGTCCTGGGGGGGAACCTGATGGCGAACAGCTATTAAGAAATCTCTTCAACTATTCAATTGATCACAATACCAAAATATACATAGAATTGATCAAAAAAATAACGAGTAGAATAAGTGTAAAAGAAGAAGATCACAAGGGCCACAACCCTAAACTCAAACAGCCACATACTACTCAATATCTCATCAACCCAAAGCTGCATAAATATATTACAAGTAGGCTGGGTTATTTATAAGCATTCAACAAACCCTAACTAATAGAACTTCGAAAAAATAAAATAAATCTCAAAATATAAAAAATTATCAAAATTAATTATTTAATCCTATCTCTTCAATCAATTCCATTCTGCTTCCCATCAAAACCTAGTTCTAGTAACTTCAAAAACTCAAGCAAGAGATCTAGGTGTCATATAATTAACATTTGGTTGTATTAACATGTAAGCATGTACCCAAGGAATTAGCATTTGCATGAGAATGTTCAGACTCCTATGGTACAAACCTAACACAATATTTAGGACATGTCAAACAATCTTGAGAGTGTTTTACACCAGAAAAATTAAATAAAC